AACCCAATCTACCACTATTTTCAAAGTTGCTACTTTTGCATCAGACACCCTGTATATGTATGTAAAAACTGAACCGTTGCACCGATTATCGTCAAATACAATACCAGCGATCTCGTAATCACACTCAAGAAATGTGCCAAAGTAGAAGGTGATATCTCAAAAATTGCGGACGGGAGAGCGCGAACAATTTTTGTGCACATACACACACACACACATACATTTTTTAAAAATTGTGTTTTTTGAGTTTTTAAAACATTCTAAACCCATTGGCATTGAAAACTGGAAAAAAATTTTTCGCATGAAAACAAAGCTTCCTCTATGAGGAAGCAAAAATTAATAACATCATGGATCTGACCTCCAAATTGCGAGAAAATTAAGCAGAATTTGTGAAATTTGTTGTATATGTTTAAACGCACACACGCACAAACACACGCACGCGCGCACACATACACACACACACGCACAAAATATCTATAATAAACATTCATAAAAAATAGTACCTGTGATAATTGACCAGTGATATCAATAATTTCATTATTTGCTGATTCATAATACAATATGTATTATCACATCAGTGATATTTGTGTATAAGATCGAATATTTCAGAGAAATCCTAAAAATGTCCTATAAAAATGTCCTTAGGACGTCGTCTCTGTATTTATACTGGACGTTCAATGGCTTTTCCGAACATGCCTTTATACTGCTCTCAATATGTTCTGTGGCTTTACTGAGTACGTCTTCATGTTCTCCTAAATATATCCTAAAGAAATTCTAAGGATATCCTATAAAAAACATCCTAAGGTCATCCCAAAAACGTCCTGAGAATATACAATTTTCCTCAATGCATCCCAGGACGTCCTAGGACATATTCAGGATGATCCTGAGGACGTCATGTGCTATTTGGGTAAATACACATATACATATAATAAAATGTTAATTTTTAAATTATTTTTTAAATTTTATTTACACCTCATAAATACAAGTATAAAAAACAAAAACATATCCATAATGCAATTGTAAAAGACGACTAAAAGATGCCTAATATCAGACGTCTTTTAGCCATCTTTTAGTCTCGGCTATAAGTCGACATTTAGTGGGACATAAGACGTCTTTTAGTCATCTTTTTATCGACTATTGGCTCTACCTAAAAGACATCCATGACGAAAATCTGTCATCTTTTAGTCGTCTTTTAAACGTCTTTGTGCTATCTGGGCAGTGACTCGTCATAAAATCATTATATAATGATATTTTGACTTTCAGGATATTAATTCAATACGCATATATTTTCGAAAATATAACTTTTTTGAGAGGAGATTGCCTGGCACTTATTCATTGAAATTATCTTTTATATACCGTGTGTGTGTGTATGTGTGTGTGTGCGTGTGTGCGCGCGCGCGCGCATGAAGAATCATCCCCACTCCAACTGGGCAAACGTTCTCGGCTGGCAGTGCCGTGGTCGTGGCCGTGTTGGCTCAGTGCTTGATCCGAGTGCCATTGGAAAGATAAAGAAGAAGAAGCAGACTCTTGGCGCTTGTTTTATAGCAGTGTCAAGCTCGTGTGGCTGTTCCGTTCGTATGGTGTATTTTTAGGTATGACAGGTGGGTATGTGTGCGCGTCAAAGGAGATTTGATTGAAGGGATCGAGTAGATACGTGTCGATTTGAAATTGTAGATTTTTTGTAAAAGGAGATGTTTCTGTACTTATTCCATTTTACTTTCAAGAATAAAGGATTAGAAAATACTTGTGAGAAACAAATTTTATGTATTTCTGCGGGAGAAAGTGTAAAAACTTAAAAGACACAGAGTAGAGAACTATGATAATCAGACGAAAGTGAGTAAGTAAACAGATTTAAGACAATTACCACACAGAACATGAGTCCATATAACCTCCATAGTTCCATGGAACATCTATCTCCACGATGGATGTTGAATAGACCTCTAATAGAACTCCCATATTATCTTAGCGATAAATATATAGTCTGTAAATCTATTACAGATGTCTAATGGATATCTATGACAGATGATACATGGATATGTATATTTGTACATACATGTATTATCTTTTTATTATATTTCTTTCTTTTATATTATCTTTTCACGTTTTTACCAAAACAATATTTAATTTTAATATAAATGTTAATTATAATTTTCAAATGTATTGAAAGTATATTTAAAAATATGTAATATTATATATTTCAAATGAAATAAAGGGCTCAAAGCCAGAACAGGATAGCAGTGTTCAAAAAACATTTAATTATAAATGGATATAGACGTTTCGGTCCTTATTGGATGACCATCTTCAGTATAATAAAAAAGAACACAATTTAGAACATTATTAAGCTAGGAATACAAATTAAAATTTAAAACAACATATACGCAGTCAGTCCGATAAGATTATAAATAAAAAGACAGAACATATTAAAAGATAGCGCAGTCAAACAGATTAAAAGAGTATAGATTATATATTTCATCAGTTTTCTTAAATATCTATAATTACTCTTTATTACATCCATATGACATCTATGAGTATGCTAATGGATGTCCAATGGAAGTAGCAAATGCGGAACTGTGGATGTCTATTAGAGATCCATAAGATTTTACGTGGACGTCTAATGGAGGTTTTGCATCTCCATGGTGGACGTCTAATGAACATCCATTGGAGGTTTTTGTTCTGTGCGGGTTATATGCGTGAGAAAATAGTAATATATATTTGAAGAATAAATATCTCTCGACGTCCCTTTAACAATCTGATTGGGCGAGGCTCTGAAGTGTATCTAACAATATCCATCGTTTAGTTGCAGGCAAGCTATGACGGAAAACAACGTTAAGTATGTAGTGATACCTCTTCACCATCGGCCTGACTTGATCCGAGACTGTTGTAAATTGCTTAATTCTGAATGGCCTCGAAGCGAGACTGCACGGTGTGTTATTTCTCCCCTTGACCTAGAAGATCTTGGAAAGCAGGACGTGTCGATGGAATTAAGAGCTTTTGTATTGTTACATTGCAGAATGAAATCTCTAAGTGTGTCTTGCGACAATTTTCCTACATGTCTGGTTCTAATTAATAATGAAAACAAGGTTCTCGGGCACTGCAAGATCTTTCTGGTGGCCAGGTCGAAAGTTAGCTGTTTCATAGAGTCTGGTAAGCAAAGACAGAAATAAATAACAGCTTAAATGCATATATACACCACTAGAATTAAGAAGTTAATTAATTTAAAACATGCAAGTCAAATCCCACCAGTATACCATGACGAAAGGAATTACATGTCTGCGATATTTTAGTTGTAATCGACTATCGGTATAGATCTCAAGGATTAGGGTCTAGACTGTTACGCGGCATGGAAGAATACGTCGCGAAAAGAGGCCTGAAGAACATCTACCTGAAGACGGTCGGGCAAGAGGTCTTTTACTACAAGAACGGATACAAGGTGTGCGATCCGTTCAAAGCATACGGTATTAACGACATCATAACCGCCAGTCCGCCTCTCGGCAGAACAAGATTTAAGGAGCGAGATGATTGTTCCGCCGTGCAATCACCGCCGCCGCCGCCGCCCCCGCCGCCCCCGATGCCAGCGTTTCAACTATCAAAGTTTTTCGACATGCGTATGCAGTCGCAAAAGACACATATGGTAAAGAAATTGTGATACTAGTGTTACCGCAGAATCTCAGAACGGGCTCCACGCAGAGGTCAACGAGAGGCCTTTCACGTCGATTGAAATTAGGTACTTAATGAAAAACGAATATGGTTCATGTAGAACAAAACCGGGAGCAGGACTAGATAAGCTAGCACATTGCCTAACAAAGAACTTGACAGTCCTGTCGCTTAGGAAATCATGTTCATTAGTACATATCGATTGTCTTGCGCTTGCGGAACATGAAATCGTTCTCGATTGAACGTGCATGTGACTTTCCAGCTCGGTTGGGCGACGCGGACGAGGCACTGGATACATAAAATTTTGTCCTTATTTATAAGTTGCGAAATAGAGCGCTGCACTTATTTTTCAAGCTTTACAGTATAGCTATTTTTATCATTCCTGTGGATGGATCAGCAGGCGGATTCGTCCTCAGCTTCTTAGTACAATTTTCCTCGCCGGGGGAAACGCTTCTATTTATTTCGAATATTATTCTTTCTACGTTCCTTATATTCCAGCGACAGAACGCAATGCGCTTGACACATTTTTTTCCATCCAACTCGTACAATTCGAGTCAATTACGAACAAATGCCAAACTTATCGATAACAGAGATTTACATATACATATTTATTTTTCCACTAGAAAAAAATACACTCATCTCATTATTTATATATCCCTACATTTCTTCTCGCATCTTGGTGATGCCACAGAGTTATTAGTAATAATACGGATTTTCGAGGCACTAGACGAGAAATTCACCCAAGTCGTGTTTGGAGATTGTTCAACCAGGTGAAAAATTGATAGTGACGGTATACTTTGCCTTTGGTGTCTCTAAAAAGAGAAATAATATTAGTGAGAAAAATAATGTGTCTAGTCATCTCACATTACCTAGACGTACCTGTAATG